TTAAATATGGGTATTGGGATCAGTTCGTTCTTTTTTGGTGCCCACTGAATTGTCGGTTCTGCTATGTTCTTACTCTTCTCGTGTCTCCACCCGCCGATACGATCTGAAAACTCTATTAGGTTCTTAGCACGTCTTAAATGATCCTTTCTAATTACGAAGGCATCTGTTTTAACACTCCATACTCCTATATGATTTTCTATTAGCTTGGTGTAGTCGGTGTGCATTTTAAAGTTATGGTGTTGTAATAATAATTCCTTGATGTATATATATATATATATATCCGTTTCGTAGGGTGGCTTTATCGGTCACAGTTAAGCAATAATATTTTCTATCCATCTCTTTTTCTATGAAGTCTGCCTCGCCGTTCGGTAACTCAATCTCACCAACATACATACCCGAGATTCTGTTAATCTTTCCTCCGATCTTGTTCTGATAATATAAGGCTTCCTTTAAAGTATCAAAGGCACAGCTTTTATGGGCTTTGTTCGTGTTTTTCTCAAGTAGCCCGAAGTTAACATTAGCTATTAATTTCTTTATTCTGATGTCTTCGGCCGGTTTGTCAGATATGTCTGTCTTCCATAATTCCGCTGTGATCTTCCTATAATCCACCTTATATACTCTGGATGGTTGCTTATAATAAAGTATCTTACACTGCTTCACGAAGTGCTTTAAAAACATACCATATACTAAAGTGTAGGCTTTATTGAAAAATAAACTCCGCTTGGTGGGCTTGACCAAGTAGAGAGTGAGATCGTGAAAATCTGTTACGTTACCATTGAAAGGCTTCCATATATCAAACTGAGTGAGTACCGGTATCTCGGCGATCTTGTTAAACGCAGATGTGTAAGCTTTTCTTACATCTATCTCCGTAGTCACTTCTGGGGTATAAAAGTATTTGTCATCTTTGTCGGTATTAGGGTTATATAAATAATAATGTTTATTTGTTTCACCCGTTGGGGGGATTGTGCGACACTCCTTGAAGATTTCAACGTCAATCTCGTTATAATATGACTTGTGTGTTGCCTTGAAGAGGGCGGTGTTAAAATTAAACATCGCTTTGGACATTTTATTGTAGATCTGCTCCGTTCTCACGCAGATGGAACCATCTATAGAATTATTTACCAAGTTCTGTGTCTTAACTTTGTATTTGATAACTTTATCTTTGATCTTAAACTTAAAGTTAAGTTCAGATATGCACCCCGCACTGAACCTAACCTGTGGCTCATACCCTGCTTGTTTGCTAAGATAAAAGAGATGAGACAGATCGTAGCCATTATATACCAATGTGTATTCGCTGTGCTCTGTGTATTTCCGTATGTCGTCTAGGGATGTGATCATCTTACACTCCACTGGCTCTTCCTTCTCGTTAAGGTGATAATCTGAAGATGCCTTAACAGAAATGTTATAATTACTGCTTTTGGGTATCATCTGCCGTAGCATATTCACATTATCACTCGCCGTGTAGATGTGATTGTTCTTCACTATACCGTATAAGGCTCGGATGTGATGGTTTCTCTTTATTGGGTCGCGCTTATAAATGAGAGTATCAAAGACATCATATATTCTCACTTGCAAGTTAAAATGTTCAAATACCTTTGTCATGTCTGTTATTGACGCCCCTTTTGTTTTAAAATCTTCTTCTGTCTTATTTATAATTGTTAGGATGGCCTCTTTGGTGAGTTTGTTCTTCTCTCTCTTGTGATCTCCCATAAGGGTATCCTTATAGTAATCGGTTATGGTGTTAAACCAGCACTCGTTCTTACCATAATATCTACCCTTTCAGTGTAATTAACTTTAATACAAGCAATGTAACCTTCAGCATAACCGACATCGGCTTTAAAACTGTCATCGGTCATAAATAACATCTTGAGCCTATGAAATGTTTTTGTGTCGGCCTTCTCGTCTCTAAATATTCGTCTCCTCGCTAAGTTTTCAACCCACGGCGTGGTTGCTACATTGGCTGATAGATCACGCATATAAATAGGAACGTATGCCCTACCCCTACTGTCTCTGAAGGATACTGATAAACCTTGGAGTGATTCTGTCTTCAGTTGGTACAAATGGACATTGACAGAATATTTTCTTGGTTTTCTCGGGTTGGTTCTTCCCGTTCATTTGTTGTCTTCTTTTGCTTGTGCCATTCTCTGACCCAGTTGTTCTTTATCCTTGTGCTTGTCGTATATTTTATTATATTCGTTTTCTGCTTTAGATTTTTCTTTGTCTGTTTTTGCAGTGGTGAGTTTCCTAATTAAATTGTCTGCTGTGGTGAATTGGGCGATCTTACGATCTGAATATAAGCTAATTATATTTTGAACTTTTGTTCTGGTGGCTTTTCTGATGCGGTTTCTTCTGTTGTTATAAAATGTTTGTAGTGCTTCCGTATTACGCTTATTAATGGCTTTGGACATATACTAATATAATTAAACTATATATTATTAAATCTTTAAGTGTAATTTTCCAAAGATGTTTTTTAAAATATTAAATGTTTTTTTAATGTATAGAAATATGTCTAAAGATAAAAAATAATATATAGTATAGTATAATATGAGTAAAAACCCCGAGGATATGACAATGGATGAAATCAAAGAGCAACTCGCCATATACAGCAGATTGTATTACAACAAGCGCAGAAATGATGAAAAATATATGCAAAAGAAACGAGAATCTGCACTACGACACAATCAGAGAAAGAAGATCAAGGAGTATGAAGAAGCCAACAATATCAAACTGAACCCCGATGAGTTGACAGAAGAATTGCTATCTGAAATAATGAATGCAAAAAAGCCGTTTAAAGCAAAGCACGGCACACCCAAATATGATATGAGCAAATTCAGATCATAAAGCCGATGGATGACGAATGATGATTTAATTTAATTATTAAATCATTATTTTCTTTTGTTTTTTATATGAGTGATAAACAAAAAATTATTAATGATGTATATTTTGATCGCGCCGGTTCTGGTAGTAAGAACCGCACATTGGAAGAAGCACGGGAGAAAGATAAAACCATCACAATGTCTGATATCAATGAGTTTTTTAGGAAGAATGTTGATCAAAAACGTAAGCCCGTGGGTTCTAATAGCTTTGTCGCCCCGCATTCTGCATACGAGTATCAGATGGATTTATTTTTATTAATGATTTGGACAACCAAAAATTTAAGGTAGGTATGATAATGATTGACATCTTTGATAAGTTTATGCACGTGGTGGCAATACAGGGCAAAAAAGAAGAAGATTTAGCCAGTGGGATGATTGAATGCTTACATAAAATGGGAAAGAAGCCAAAAATAACTTATACCGACGACGAGGGAGCAATGAACAAGGAGGCAATACAAAAGTATTTACAGGAACGGAACATAGAACATCACAGGACTAGGGCGCATCCCAATTTTAGCGAAAGGGCCATTAGGACATTCAAAGATTTATTATATCGCCGTGTTGAGGCTGATGAGAAAAAGGGTAAAAACAATATCCAATGGACGGATTATATTTTTGAAATATTATTAACATATAACAATAAAATGAAACATTCCGCTACTGGCTTCACCCCAAAGGATGCCAGAAAACCGAGCAATGAATTAAAAGTTAAACTGCATTTAAATATGAATTCTAAACGAAATCGGGTCTATCCTGATCTAGGTGTTGGCGACGAAGTTAAAATATTCAGGAAAAGGAAACCTAACGAAAAAGAGAGAGTGGGCAATTTTAGCCAAAATGTTTATACCATAGAAAGAATTGATGAAAAGTTGGGTCAAAAATATTATTATGTTGAAGGTAACAATAGAGCGTATTTACGCTTTGAGTTGCTAAAGGTTTAATTTTTCTTTTGATAAACAATTTTTTTCAGAAAAACACCTAAAGAAATAACACCTATATATATATATTAACAGGGAAATGTTCAATCAGAAAGAACAGGATGAAATCATCAATGATTTTTTGGATGTTATCAAGGTTAGAGATTACATTAGGCAAAGTGAGAAAAACGAGATATTTGTAAATGTAAGGATTGTAAGAAACATGATCGTTATTGCACTTTATACGAATTGCCACTACCAGAGAATATTATTAATAATATCTATGGCTTTACTTATCGGTGTTGGACATGTGAACAGACTATAGAAAAAGAGGAGGCATTAGAAGAACGACTTGAAACCAATGATTTATGTTTGTATGATGTTGATAAACTTATTTTAAGCTTGGGTGAAATATTCCCGTTATATGATACAGTCAAACATGTGATCACAAACATAACTTTGAAGAGATACAACATGTTTAAAAAGTTATTTGATGCAATGATGTTTTGTAGAGACAAAGAAGAAATAAAATAATGGATACAATACAAAATGAAATATAATGTTAATGCTACAGCGTATGATTTCAACAAAATCGTTAGAACACTATTGAATAAACCTTTTTTTGACTTAATGGCTTGAACAAGCATAACATTATCAATATAATAATGTTATGGTTGGTGGTCATCCTAAACCCCAAAAGTTCACTCCACCCGAGTTGTAAAACTTGATTTCTGGTTCTAGGTTGTTCCAATGTTCTGGCAGCGTTTTTGGTGCTCTTGATGGTTTGGAAGCACTCTAAGTCCATGCTTTACTTTGAATCCGTTTTGGAATACGAAAAAACGGCTTGCGGTTGCAGAGGGCTTTCGTGATAAGTAGCAGTAGTAGTAGTAGTAGTAGTAGTAGTTGTTGTAGTAGCAGTAGTAGTAGCAACAGCAGGTAGGTGGGGCTTAGTTGGTTTAGGGTTATTCATATGTTGCGCTTGTTGGCAGTGGATTGCTATCTGCTTACCTGGCCTCAAGCACTTCAGTTCCGTTGTCCTCATCTTCATGACTCATTGTGCCGGTTGTAGGCTTCACGCGCACAGAGTTTCATGTTGTCTGGGTTCCCCACATGTCCGTGGATTACAGACAGTGCATGATTTTTGTTTGAAGCCATTCGGTGACATGTGTGGATAGTGTGTGTTCATGTCAAAGTAGTTCTTCCTTCGATGGCTCAACGTCGGCGCAATCGCCCCCTCGGAAAGAGGAAACGTGCTCCAACCGAGAGCGTTCTTCTGGATTTGATAAACTCATGCACCGATCAGGCACGTCGCAAGCAGGCATTCCGCGAGTACAACACCAAGGACAAGGCAGTGGTAACAGCCGTGAAGGACAAAGACTTAGCCGTCAAGGACAAAGAATTAGCCGTGAAGGAAGCCGTGAAGGACAAAGACGAACAGCTGGTCGCATTGAAGGTCGAAAACAAGATGCTTCATCAGGGACTTCTGCAAGTACAGGGTCTGCTGACAAGCAGGGGACTCTTTGAACGGATTGCTCAACTTGCTTTCGCTGAGCAGAAAGTTGCTGGTCATGTCAAGGGAACCTTCAACTGCACATCTGCTTTGGAGCAAGTCGTCATCACTCCCCAATCAGGACCTTGGTCGAAGCTGCTCAAAGAGACAATAAAGAAGTGTGCTCCAGCAGTGGGGAAATCCAAGGACCTGCAGAAGAAAGAGCTCCAGCGTCTCTGGGCGGACTTGTCAAACGCAATCCATGGTCATGCCTGGTATGGTCCTGGCGTGAAGGTGGTGGCAGCGCTTAGCAAGACTGGCAAGTGTGTCATCGCTCGGCTCGCGGAGGCATTCGGTCTACAGCTTCACGAAGCCTAGCTAGTTTCGTTAAGTCTCACGTCTCACGGGAATTCTCGGGAGGCATTGGATACCTGGCCCGTGCTTGCCAAATGAACATCGTGATGATGGGGCACCCTTCTACGGATCCTGATCATGGTCTACCTACAATCCTTAACCCCAAACCCTGAACCAAATTCTATAAGGAACCCTTCGCCCAGTTTGAGTAATAATGCCACCTTAGAGATAATAGATGGGGTTATGGTTATTCCTAGAATTGTGTTGATAATGGAGAAGTAGTAGTGATATATCGGTGAAGTGTAGGGGGGATCCTAGGAATGATCATCTAATGGGGGAAGTAGTAGTGATTTATCGGTGAAATGTAGGGGGGAGTATAGGAATAATCATCTAATGGGTTAGCGGTGGCATTATTACCCAACGGGGCGAAGGGGGTCCTAACTCATTTTAGGGCCTCGGGCTGATATGTCTTTTTCGGGGAGTTTATACAGGGCTCCTTCTGAAGGTTCGTGAATCAGAGTGTATGTTCGAGGCTTTATAATGCGCGAATGGGACGCTCGTAATTAACACCCCGGATGAGTATCAAGACAGGGGGCCTGAGGGCCAGTAGGGCACCCTCAAAGCCCGGTACCTCACCGCAAATCAGCGGATGGCCTGCAGACCCAACCCCTTGTACCCGCAGTCCCCATAGACCAATCCTGACATACAGTCTTTATGCGAACCCTTGACACGAAACGGCATGAAGCAGCCGGATCCTGCACCCTAAACCAACAGTCCCTCCGTGAAGAACACTAACCTTCCCCTAAAGGCTTAAACCCTAAACCCTTTCCCTAGTCAGGCCGGTATTCCGTCAGGCGCCGCGTCGCCCGAGCAGAGGACAAAGCTCTGCGAGCGGGACGCGCCGGATGCTTCCTCGGCCGGTCTGGAAGTGAAGCTTGGCATTTGTTTTAGGGCTTCGTGGTTTAGGGTTTAGATTTAGGGCGGAGAGTGTATTTTTTGGGTTAATGTTCAAGGTTGATAGAGTAGGTTTTTTCATTTGGTGGCTTCTGGGCTTCTGTTTCTTTTAATTGCATAGCTTGGTTTTCCGGCCTTGGTTTCGGGCTTAATGATTTGGGGTTTCAGTTCCAATTCGGCAAGTTGCTTCTTTTCCTGATCTCCAGCGGTTCTATGCAAATGCACATTTTTTGGGGGCACTTCATGGTTTTTCCTGCCTGGATGCCATCAGGCTGAGCCGTACACCCCTCACTAACCCCAGGGTGCATTGGATGGTCGAGCTGATGAAGAAGGAGGGGAAGTGGGACACCAAGAAAGCTTGAGCTCCTTTCGAGCCACTTTTAAGGTTTCAGGGTTTCCACACAATTGAGGTTTAGAGTTTTCAGTATAGTGGTTGTGATAGAAGGAGTTGTGGCATGGCTCCGTCACCTTGACATGGAGGGTCGGAGCCGTCAGTGCTCCCCAATGTGTAGCTTCTTGGCTTCGATAACAGCCCCGAGCCCGTGGCAGAGGAAGGACGCAGGAGAAGTTTCGATGATGTCCAGCCTTAACCCTTAAACCCCAACCCCGAATCCCACCCTATATCAATCCTACAACCTCAAAATCAAAGATGTCCACTTGATTTGTTTTCGACCCTTTCTCGGGTGGCTGTGGCTTCTACACGAAGAGTGGTGATGAGCCATCAGCCGCCAGAACTGCCCAAAAACGGCTCCCACTGTGTACTTTTACCAGTTTTGTCCTGCTTAAAGCAGTTCCTTACAGCTGTACAGGCAATAAAGACGACAACCACGACGACGTCAAAACCGCCACTGCCAGCATCTTTCCGTAGAAGTTTGCTTTTGCGCCTGCACTATGTCAAACCCCCAAAGCCTCATGTTGCTGTGCAGCATGGTATTCAGGTGTCAGTGCGACTGCACGGCAGCAATAACAATCACGACGAGGACGACGACGAAGCCGCTGCGGCTCCTACTACGTACTCTGCTGCTGCTGCTGCTGCTGCTGCTGCTGCTGGCTTTTGGCTGAAAAGCACGTGCCATTCCAGGTTAATGGATTATGCGATGTTGGCTTTTGAGACCATGGCCGGGCAACTCGAGCACGCAAGCCGGTCCTGCCAAAGGGTGCATCGCAGTGTCTGCTTCCAGCGGAGAGTAACGTCATATCTATCACGCTCAGCCTGGACAGCAAGTGATGCACTGCACGACCAAGCCTTCAACTTCTCTTAATCTGCAGAGAGTCAGAATCCCCAATATCCTGAGCCCTAGATCCTGGAAGCCCTAAACCTCAAATACCCCGGAACCCTAAATCCCATGCAAGGTGCTGAAGCCCGAAATCCCAAAAGCAGTTGGCCTAATCACCATTTAGAGCCTTCGCCGCAAGCGATGGCCCTGCCGATAAATGCGCCAGGCGAGCTTTTGAGGTTTAGTTCTTAGTCTTGGCATTGAGTTGGTTCTTACGTGTTGTTGTATCGTTGTGGTGGGTTGCAGTGTTTACTAAAATCGTTTATAGGATCACCAAAGGGCTGTGCATGAGGGCTTTGTGCCGTTATTCTCGTAGAATCCCGGCACAGTTCCGACACATTCCCCGATCGCCAAACCCCAAACAGTAAACACCAGAATCCCAAACCCTAAAACCGAGCATTCATACATCTAGAGGAGCCTTACCAAGAGGAGGCACATCGGAAAATGACAGCATGAATAGTCAGCCAGAGTCGCACTTCGTTTTCAATACCGCCAACCCCGAAGCCTCAAGCCCAGACCCTACTAAGCCAGCAGGTATGGGCCTGACTGGCTGCCAGGGTTATTCTAAACGGGTCCTTAGTAATTAGTATAAGTATTCCATAATATTATGATAATATACCCCAGACCCTGTTCTAACTGTGAAGGCCCTCTGGCCTTGCCAAGCAATCTTGGACCTCACTCAAAACCCTTGACCCCTGAAGCCCTAAAACCCTGAAATCCTAAAAACCTCTAAAGCCCTAAACCCAAAGTCCTGCGCACTTTCATCCCAAGAGGACCCAGGAGCAAAGTCCTTCGCTGGCGACGCCTGGCCCACCCCTCGGAAAGCCTTTTGCGAGCTCTTCGGGTTTAGGGCTCGTTCCACTGGTTTTAGGGTGTTAGCTTTGCTTTTGTAAGGATATTTAGGACCAAAAGGATTTTCGGTGTTTTGGGGGGCTTTTAGAGTGTTAAAATTTACGGGTTGGGGTTTACGGTGCAGAGCTCAGGGTTGGAGGGTTCAGATTAGGAGTTTCAGGGTTGCGGGTCTAAGCTATGCGCTATGAACTCTGATACTACAGCACTCCTACAGTGCAAGCCCGGAGGCCTTCCCGAGGGAACTGGATCCCGACACCCTAGGTTCCTGAGTAGTACCCTTTTGTCCTTTGTATTTTAGGGCCCCTTCATTATAACAGAATATTATGAAAAAGAGTACCATTATTGTAAGCTTAAGCCAACCCCTCAACCCCAGTTGTTAGGGTTTGGGGTTCAACGTGCAAACCTAAACCCTCAACGTTAAATCATGTCCAATCCTAAAACCTGAGCCAACTAGCTCCCGCCCCCCCAAAAACTTCAGGTCCCTAAACCCTAAACCCAAAAACCTTAAACCCTGAAGATCCCTGAAGGTTCGGTTTCTGATGTTTAGAAACCCGCCGGTCAGCCCCCGACCTCACTAAAGGTTGCAGTTTGCCTGAGCTTGGCGGCCTTTTTGTCCCCTGCCTTCGTGCAGGCGTGGGTTCGGGCAGAGGGTTTAGGGTTTAGGGTTGAAGGTGTTGCGGATTTACGCCGGGATTGAGGGTTTAGGGTTGGAAGTTCAGGGTTGCTAACAAAGGGCGTTGAGGGTTTGGGGATTTCGGGGTTCAAAGGTGTAGCACGCGTGGTTGTTGCAAGTCTAGATTTGGGGCCAGGGCCTCGGCGCAGTTTTTTCTTCGTGAACCTTGAACCCTAAACTCTAAACCCTAAACCCTAAACCCTAAACCCTAAACCCTAAACCCTAAACCCTAAACCCTAAACCTTAACCCGATTCATGCCTGTTGCCAGGGTTCAGGGGAGATGCAGTGTCCGCTCGGGCTTGTTGTGCGATTGACTGACGGGGTTGGACTTTCGGGTTTAGGGCTTGCCGCATGAGGGTGCAGGATTTTTGGGTGTAGGGTTTCAGGGGTAGGGCTTTGGGGGTAGGGTTTAGAGTTTGGGTTTTTGTAGGTTTGAGGTTTAGATGTCAGGGTTCAGGGTTATTCACTGTCTGCACTTTAGAGAAGAACCACAGACCAAGCAGACAAGCAGCACCGTGGTTGAATCAGAATGTGGCCAGGCCAAAACGAAGCATCCATGCTGTAGAAGTATAGTTGCTTGACTAGAAGCAAGCATGATGACCATAAGTATGAAAGTATGTGGCCGAGCACATAACCAACTAATAGTAGAGCGAAACGAAAATCTATACACCTCATTCGCCGCGTTGTAAAGTCCTTCACAGCACTTGGCCACCTATGTAAACCCTTAAACACCACATATACTTCATTAAAACCCTCGCCTGACCCGTGCAGATTGGATGGATGCGACCCAAGTCCCTGTCTGGAGGAGTCGGAAGGCCCAGGTGCTTTCTGTAGGGGGAATAATGGCGAATAACGAAGAATATTCCTTGGGTGCCGGGTTTTGTGTTACAGAAAAAGCCACCAAGATCACAGGGCCTAGTCCAATCATGTGAGCCCTTGGATAGGGTGCGAGGGACCCCAGGGGCTGGAGGTTCATGATCGGCGGTTAAGCAAAATCGGGAGTGACGGTCAGGACATCGAGGTTAGTGACGCGGAGTTCGGTGGGGTCAGGAGACGGTTCATGGACACATATTCCAGCACTGCGAAACAGCAAGCAGGTGTGTAGTTGCAGCTTGATGGTTTGTTGGTGCCTGAGGCCTTGTCTCCAAATCTCAGCTCATTGTTGGGTTCTCGACGTCGTGCTGCGGGTCGCTGTATTTCCGATATTTTCCGATGATGGACCACTTGCACACATCCTGAGCGTCCTAGATGCCGCTTTCCAGTGGTTGTGGCCGCGAAGAGGGCATCAAGAAAGGATTATGAGAGCTGAGGTGCAGCAGGAAGGAGGTGTGTAGTTGCAGCTTGATGGTTCGTGTGAGCTTGAGGGCTTGTCTCCAAATCTCAGCTCATTGTTGGGTTGTCAACGTCGTGACACGGGGCGCTGCATTTCCGATGATGGAACACTAGCGCACATCCTGAGCGTCCTAGATGCCTCTTTCCAGTGGTTGTGGCCGCGAAGAGGGCATCAAGAAAGGATTATGAGAGCTGAGGTGCAGCAGGAAGGAGGTGTGTAGTTGTTGCAGCTTGATGGTTCGTGTGAGCTTGAGGGCTTGTCTCCAAATCTCAGCTCATTGTTGGGTTGTCAACGTCGTGACACGGGGCGCTGCATTTCCGATGATGGAACACTAGCGCACATCCTGAGCGTCCTAGATGCCTCTTTCCAGTGGTTGTGGCCGCGAAGAGGGCATCAAGAAAGGATTATGAGAGCTGAGGTGCAGCAGGAAGGAGGTGTGTACAGTAGTTGCAGCTTGATGGTTTGTGTGAGCTTGAGGGCTTGTCTCCAAATCTCAGCTCATTGTTGGGTTGTCAACGTCGTGACACGGGGCGCTGCATTTCCGATGATGGAACACTAGCGCACATCCTGAGCGTCCTAGATGCCTCTTTCCAGTGGTTGTGGCCGCGAAGAGGGCATCAAGAAAGGATTATGAGAGCTGAGGTGCAGCAGGAAGGAGGTGTGTAGTTGCAGCTTGACGGTTTGTGTGAGCTTGAGGACTTGTCTTAATCTGAGCTCACTGTTTGGTTGTCAACGCTGTATTTCCGATGATGGACCACTTGCACACATCCTGAGCGTCCTAGATGCCTCTTTCCAGTGGTTGTGGCCGCGAAGAGGGCATCAAGAAAGGATTATGAGAGCTGAGGTGCAGCAGGACGGAGGTGTGTACAGTAGTTGCAGCTTGATGGTTCGTGTGAGCTTGAGGGCTTGTCTCCAAATCTCAGCTCATTGTTGGGTTGTCAACGTCGTGACACGGGGCGCTGCATTTCCGATGATGGAACACTAGCGCACATCCTGAGCGTCCTAGATGCCTCTTTCCAGTGGTTGTGGCCGCGAAGAGGGCATCAAGAAAGGATTATGAGAGCTGAGGTGCAGCAGGAAGGAGGTGTGTAGTTGTAGCTTGACGGTTTGTGTGAGCTTGAGGACTTGTCTTAATCTGAACTCACTGTTTGGTTGTCAACGCTGTATTTCCGATGATGGACCACTTGCACACATCCTGAGCGTCCTAGATGCCTCTTTCCAGTGGT